GACGAGTGTCGAGACAATACAGATTGCTATTATTCGTTCTAGGACCCACACAAAATCAGCTCATCGCCGAGTGATGAGGCGACGTTTTTCTCCCATTCTTTTTTCCTCTGTTTTTCTTTTTGCTGCCGCGATCCCTTGTTTAATTTCCTACTCCTAGAGGCTGAAGAAGGTGAGCTACTTTTGCTGTTACTAGGGTTTTTTTTTGTTTATTTATGCTTATGAGTGAATGAATTTTGGCTACCATTGTCTGTTATTCGCACCAGGACCCACACGCGCGCAGTGAAACGCACTGTTTAGCTCGTCCAGGCGCCCCACCTTCTTCATTTTTCTTCTTTCATTCTCGTCCAGCTCTCTTTTCAACGGTTTTACGAAGCCTTTTTTCACTTTTGAAATAATCATAATCATAATCTGGATTACCCAAATTTGAGTGAACGGTGCCTTTAAGTAAGGTATGAAGTATCTCCCTATCTCTCGGAAATGAATCTAAACTACTTATGAAGTTAGAGCGGAGATGATGTAGTGGTAAGTGGTGCAAGATCTCATTCACATGGACATGGATCGAATCTCCGACTGATCCGCCTAGACCGATAAGCCTTCCATACCTCTGAGGTTTGCTGGTTGGGATCAAACCGTCTAGGAGGATAACCACACCTGGGAGATTCGAGCATCTACAGACTACCAAAGGTCTTTGTAAAAGCCACGCACGCATTCAAAAGACCGCTACGTTTTTGACTGGAATTCGACTAGGGGGAAGGGGGCATCCTATAATAAAATGGGATGACCGATCCGAAAAACTTTATCCTTCATCGTTTATGTACGACCTACTGCTACTAATTTGGAGGGCGACGTTTGAAAGGTAAAAAAGGAAAAGGAAAGCAGAGAGTGTCCTCTTATCTTGAAACGCTTACCCTCACTTCAAAGTCCTATTTCAGAATGAAAAATTAGAATGCAGTAGGAAATTTTGAAAGAGATAATGACTTTGCTGGTTCAAATTTTCAAAATTCGAAGTTAATACGGCAATAGCTATAATTATTGAAGAAAACCACCACACAAAAGAAATAAGAGAACCCATTGCAGGCACCATGTTGTCAGTGACAAGCAACTAGCGAAAGTTCTATTTCCAGGGTAGGTAGTTTCCAGATTTTAGATACATTGGACGCATAAACGTAGTTTATGTGAGAAATGAAATGAGTCAGGGTGATTTCTGTAGTTTTCGTTTATCATAACAATTTTAGAGTAGCTGGCGTCCGTGTAAACAGTAACTCTCAGTCATACATTCTGTGCTAAAAATAATAAATATTCCTCCAGCGTCACAATGCCTACGGCTCCGACTGGAAACATTGTTACAACGGGTATTACTAACGTACTCTTGGCAGCTCACTCGTAGCTCTGGTTCGAGTAGCCTGCAGTGCCTTCTGATTCCTTGCCTGGAAGAGATTTTCGTCAACTGTGACTGACTTCGAAAAACGAGGACCAGCGCTATGTTACCGTACATCAGATAATCGCTCAAATTGCAATAGTACAGGGCTTCTTTCGCCTGAAAACCAAGTTTGATCTATACGTCCATAGTTTACGCTTTCTTCCATACAGCATATCTGATAACCATCTTCTTGCATTATGACTGATCAGGTTGGTAGGCTAATTCCAGCGAGAAGTTCGAAGAAGTGGAAGAGAAAGTGAATCTCTACACCAACTTGATGGACACCCCTTTCTGGCGTGATGCTCCTCTTCATCACATGCATATCGTTGAAACTGATCTGGATGGTGCCACGGCAGCATGGATGACCGAGCCAGCATTTACAAAAACGGAGTACATCGGGTAGGTAATATTTCCTGTTGACCATTTTCACCCACAAGTTCCCATCATTTATCAAATCCGACTATTATCGAAAACTTATCACACAGCGTACTATGTTCAGTTTATAAGGTAGTCAACCTGAGAAATACCCCTCTGATCGCCGAGGATTACGGCAAAGCGAACCGCTTTTTATGAAATGGTAGCTCCCGTTTGCTATAATGAGCAAGCTGATCTTTTTGCAAGCTTTTGTGCTATTAAAATCACATCCATAGCATGAAATGAATAAGTCCGACTCGATAGCCGCCGGAACAGGTTTTCCGATGACTTGGTTTTTACAAACCAAAAAAAAGTAAGGATGTAGAATAGGAGGCAAAAGATGTGGAACTGATTCTTAAGAATATTTTGTGATTGAATACTCAGCAGAGTTGTTATTTCGTGTGACTATTCCTACTCATTTGTTTTTGCATTTGTTTAACTCAGTTTTTGCAACGACGTAGAGCTTATTAAAAATACAGAGAAATGATACTGTTAGAAGCTATTATTCATTTTATTCAGTCATTGTTCAGTGAGTCGGATGATGGGCTACGTCAGCTTTACTTAGGCAATGCAATTAAACAGATATACGAACCATTTGGATTCCCATTTGAGGTACGCTTCATTGGGCATGAATAGGGTACACTGTTCTGAGCAGAACAGTAAATATCGCATTACCACATAAACAAGTATGATAATTTTACAAACTCTATTATTACTCACCACCACTCAAGTTGAGCTACTGGATGGTGAAAGGTATGTTTGTTCAGTTTTAGGTTCAATACAGATTTTAGGGTCATTTTTCGGCTTCCAGTGATGTGGCTTCTGTAGCAGAGATGGATAACTAGAAAAATTGCATTAGAACTTGACACTAGTGTTACAAGATTACCTCAGGAAAAGTAAAGTTTAAAAGTATTTCGTCGTTGATTTGTCCCGACTACATGTGAGATGCGCTCCGCACTCGACACATTCAAGGTCTTAGCGGAATTTGAATGCTCATTTATGCTACGGTGACTAGCGGGTGCCCGATGTACACGCTCAGCGCTTACTCCCCAAACGAGTCCGCTACCACTCAACTGACATGGGAGGGATAGAAATATCTGGCCAGTATGGGCGGCGACCTAAACAAGAGCAGATTCCGTGAATGCGCTAATTCAATACATCAACTGCTCGCTCCAGGAAAGGGCTATATACAAAGAGGAACAATCAAGAAACAGGAAAAAGGAAATATTTACTGTAAATGAAAGTTGAGTTGTAGGATTTCAAGGTGTACATGTGTAGAGGCGACTAGCAACTATAGACTAATTTCATACTTTAATTAATTTGATTGTCCACATCTAACTGTTAGTCAACTCATGAATTCCTAATAATTGAAGGTGCCGTGTTTCACGAAGTACGTGGAAATTTTCAACTCTACGACTATTTTCTACAAATTACCCAATAGGTGAGGAGTATGCAGTGTTCTTCTCTATACAAACAAGCTTACTGTAATCTAGCTAATCTGAACAGTACTATTCCTTTCTGCTGCAACACAAGTTACGGTACATACCGCCTATATAATAAAGAGGACTTGGAATTCCACTGGAAAGGAAGAGTACTGATGACAAAATTCAACTGTTGCTGTGACTTGTTTGCAGTACCCTCACTTTTCGCTGTGAACCTGAGTACTGCTATTGAATACTGCTGATATGAAGGGGAGTTTCTTACTTGCGGGTTGAGGCTGAGGCTTGTTGCTGCTTTGATTTTGGCCCCTCGTACCTCTTACCCCATTACAATCATAATGAATGAGATCGCTTGTAGAAACCTGACGGATAAATTCTTCATACGTTGGGGCAGTACCTATGCAACCTGTCCCGAAGAGCTATGGGGTCAAAAACGGGAGAAAGAGTCAGACTTTCAACTTGAATGAAAATTGTGATGAAGTATTAAATTTTACTTCCTACTAAAGAATGGTGGATTTACTCAGTGAGAATCATTGTTCTAGAACTTGTACTGCGATTCCAAAGCTGTTCATCAAATTATTTGGGTACTCATACATGAGTTTGGTAATTACACAGTTGCCTATAACAAAATCAAATGCGAGAGGCTGGTTACAGTCTATGAGCTGACACTTGAAAGCAGTAGCTCGTTGCTTACGGTAACCAGAAATCCTAATCTTCGAGGAATTTTCGCTCTAACATACTTTTTTTCCAGAAATTTTCTCTCTTTGCCAGAATCCTCAATGCTTGATCCAGTTGGCAAGGAAGAAATCCCTACCTACTTATCTTACGTTGTTTCCAAGATGGCAAAACTGAACAGTAACTCATAGATACTTACATTCGAAGGTTGTTTTGTCAGCCGTCTTAATTAAAAACATTTAGATTCTAAGCCTCTCGAGATCGCGGCGGTTCCTCAGCTATTAGGGCGCAATACAGGCGCTTTCACTCATACTGAGGTGAAGAACTTCCTCAAAGAAGCTGACGGATCACTAACGGTGAGCACCACAGCTTATAACAATTTCTAGCGAGAAAAATTAGTTGAAAGTGGGTTTGATACCGCGCCAGCATCGCTCTGTCCTGCTGAGATGAGCCGCGAATCCCGCATCCATTCTAGACGCCACGGAATTTGTTCCTGCCCCTGTTAGAGGAGAGGTGCATAGTCAATGTGCGAATTGTATTGCTCTTCTCATTATCATGTTGCCAGTTAGATCCGTGCCGGCAAGACTACCTCTACCAGATAATGCGATACATATCTTGACAAGAGCCGGACATTTTTCGATCTAAGGTTCAATTCCTCGGGATGGTAAATACTTTCATTGAAATGGTCAATGATTATGACTCTAACCCTACCCGGCACAGACTGAGTTAGTGAAAAGCAAACAGGGCCAAATCGGACGACACCTGGACACCAGCATTTTTCAGCTCGTCCATCATTCCTCACGTACTTATTTATAACTCAGGATCCTAGCTCCATCCTATGCTTCTACAGTCTCAAGAACTGTTCCAAGCCCCAGCCTTACTTGAGACACACAGCACCCTTACATTCAGTCCTGTACTTCTTAATGTGTTGTCATTACCCAGATCAATCCGTATCTCGAAGGATTGGCTCAGTCTTCGAGAACAGTCATGGAACCATGGGGTTCATTTGTATGCGCTGCTGTGAGTTTCTTTCTTTATTCTTACAAAAATGAAGAATTCCGATCATACTCAAATTTGCAACAAAATAAACTTCAAAGGGTCCGTAGTTAGCAATGTATGTAATTAGTATCATTTGTTTTGCTCCAGATGGTTGACAATGAGCCACGACATTTGGGAGTTGTGACAAATTTGGACTACATCGTAAATGGTAGGATTATTTCCGAATTCTCAATTTACTTTGTTATACATTGTTAACAAAGTTCATTATGGTCAACAATTCAGACCAACGCCCCCTCAAATATTCCGACTTCAAAGTGTATGATGAGGAGCAAAAGAAACCGCCGGGGAGAAGGGAGCCGTTACCCATTCTCGATAGTGCCACTAATCTAAAGGTCTGCCAATATTCTTATGTTCCCATTGTCTTGTGATTCAACGAATGGAAAACGCCCAAACTTTTCGAGCTGCACCATTTACATCAATTCTAAGTGGTGTACATAGGTCTGGTGTGGAAAAACATTTTCTCTGCTCTTCAAGATGGCTTCATGTTCTGTAAATAGCTAACCCAAGCTTATGGCCTGCTTCATGAGCCCAGCCTAGGACGTCCTTTTAATACTTTACTGTGAGACAATTTTGACAGATTGCTGGAATCTTCCAGAAAACGTCTGAAGTCGCTCAGTCAGGTTCACCTTCTCATTCTGGGCCTCAGCGAAGGAAATGATATCAGAGCTCTTCGGATAGCCCTTATATGCACAGTCCAAGAATAGTCGTCAGTTTTTTAGATCGACATCAGTTGGGATGACTGGTCTTGCTGTTCGGCATGCTGTTGCACGAGCATGCTATGTGGGAAGTTCTATACACCGGATCGCAAATGGTAACCACATTCATCATTGTAGCATGTTTTGCACGACCATCACTTGGGAGAGAGGTGCTTTTGAAATTACTTCAATCAATCTTGTCTGACCTTGGAGAGAGGGAAATCTCCGCGATAATCCTCCATAATATATCTAAGTATAGACCATTTCGAAAACTTCTTCAGAAAGCGTGTTTCCCATTGTTAGGCTCTCTTCTTTTATCATATGCAATGTAGTAAACACATTGGTATACAAGTAAATAAGCAATCAGCGACAAACACTTGATTGTGAATCTGGTTTTCAAGGGTCTTCGAACGGAAAATCGAGGAGGAACTCTTCTTTGCATTCACCCTACCAGCAGTGAACCTAATGCTCGTTCTCTTGATCATCGAATACTGCATAATTGCCTGAAGTTCATTTAGCAATCGACTACATTCAATCAAAGTTCGTAAAGGATATCTTTCTCTGATGAAAATCAATCCCAAAGAGCCAGTGAGCTTTCCAGTTTGCAATTAAAAAAGCCTCCGATCGATCTGCATCACATACCTGAAAAGAAATTTACAGATACGTCCATGGGATCGCAACGATGTGAAAGCAGAATTTCAAAAGATGATGTCAATATCACCGTATAAAGAAAGAGGAATTGCTCTTTTTTCAACAATATGGGATTCGAGTGATTACCTCAGAGAAGCACAGAATTACAAGGCATGCTATCTTTTCCATGCAAAGACAGTGGAGCGTGAATGGATGAGTGGCTGTACGAAGGGCGATCATAGAGGAAACGTAGCGCTTTAATTCTTACAGATACCACTATACACTGTATTAGTACTGTATCACATCACCAGCCGATACGTCCTAGCTAATTGCAAAACTGCGCAATTTCTGACCGACTTTCCATTTTTGGCAGCTTCTTCCCATGGGTATCTGTCTTCTAGCGAAGAAGAGCAGGAAGCAGTACAGACAGATGATCGTAATGCTCATGGGGATCAGAGAATGTTGAACTATTCACAACTATTTTCTCGTCGTCCAGTAATATGGTCATGTCGTGGGAGGTGAGTAAGAGGGACGAGACGTAATAAGAGAGGAGGAAGTGATTCACGAAGAAAACTTCGCTTTGGATACTCCGAACAGCTGAATGAATCCACAATTCCGTACCTCAGACATTCAGCAATGTCACGCTTGTGTTTTTTTAAGAAATGTCAAAATTCATGTTGACAAGGCTTCATTCCGAATGTGTTGGATGATGGTTTGTATCACAGCGGTGAAGAATATTATGGGTATCTCCGTTGACTTGCTCCTGAAATGACTGGGATGCGTTCATGCTGAAGTCTTAGCAAACGTTTTTTCATAAGCTACCTAATCAATCGCAATCCTCTGGCTCTTTTGGACTGTTTCGACACCAATGCGTACCCTGAATTGCGTGACTCCCCTATCATGAGCTCACAATATTGACAAGAACGAATTGAATTTATCCCACCTTTCTACTGTTTTTCTATGCCCCTAATGGTAAGACTCTTCCCCACAAGCCTATCGATGTGTATTTCATGCATTCATTCAGGAGCGGTTGTACAGGGACCGTTTTAAGATTCTATCCAATATCACTAACGAAATTAAAGACCATCCTGGAATCTATATTGATGAAGCACCATGTACACAGGAGAAATACGATTGTGTCAAGCTCGCAAGATGCCGAGGAATCGACATTACGGTACTTTGAAGTAATTTAAATCCCCTGAATAAATCCACTTGGAGGATCGGCTAGGCTCAGACTACCGTTGCAGTCAAAAATTGACGAAGAATTGGAGGTAGAGGTGGACCCATGTGCTGAATATGAAAGCGAAATTGAAATCATCTTCATCGAAAACGAACATACTCAAGTCCCGTTAGTCGATTTTCAAGTTCTCCGCATTACACTTTATTGGGCAAACTCTTTTTCAGGCTGTTCACTGGAAAAAACTATCGCATTCGACTGAGAGAAGAAGTTTTTTCAACGGATGCTACACAAGTAAGAATTGATGGCTGTTCAAGAAAGGGCAGGGGGTAATCTGACGTAGAGGGCATCTTATGTACACACACTTCCATTTAGCATTTAACTCTTAGAAAGTTTCACTCTTAGAAAATGCAAGGGTGTAGAAACTCGTGAAATGGGCTTCCTTTACCCAACAAAGCAGTTCCCAAGAGGCCTTGCTACTTACTGCTTGATGTGCTGCTACTTTCAAGTTACGTTCCTTCGGGATTAAATCTGCCTAAATTATCGATTCTTTTTTCTGGGAGGAGAATTCATGATTTGCTCATCAAAAAGGGTACCTATGAACTGATTTGTAAAAGTTTCCGATCTGAGCAACTGTTTACCGTAAAATTGTCTTACGGACAATAAAAGAAACACCCAGTTTTCAGGCCAGATGGAAAGTTTCTTCACGACCTCCTGCACATTTCGACAGATCGAAAATGTGCTTGGAACAGGGCATTGTATTGCAGAAAAATGGCGATCTGTTAATGACCCGCTTGACATCAAAAGACGTAAGGCGGCACGTTGAAGTAACACTCCCCGATGGAAGAAAGATCAGTATACAATTCATCAATGCCGGGTCAGTTTTTATGTTTCAAAGAGCGTAAAACCGCAATTCGTTCAAAAGGGACCCAAATCTTAACCAATGCTTTCAATCGGACACTTGATAATCCAAACTCCCTACCGTACGCTTGGACAGTGTATTATTTCCAACCGAACCAGTAAGAGTCCTGGCTTGAGTCCTAAATTGAATCATGCATCCAACTAGAAAATCAAATCATGTAATGCAATTAACAAAACAAAACAAAATAGGAACCTGCTGAGGCTAAGTTGTCTTCGTCTCGAAGAACGAGCGGATGCTCTTCCGAATCATTACCTCGCAGAAAAACGCGGACGCGATTTCTCTCGATGCATGAGATTTTGCAGGAACGCCAAGCGTGCACGGTGTGACGAAATCACGTCCGCGTCGAGATTTTTGCAGGATCATTGAACATTCAAAGAATAAGGACATTCAAAGCTGTAACCGAAATCATCCGTTGCCGTCATGACTAGGAAATTGAAACGGGCCAGCTAAGGGTGATAAAGGGTTTGTCTGACATGGAGAATATGGCTCGCGAGAATACGTCAAGAAGCACGCTCTCTGCCCCAGCTTACGACAGGGCATCATTCTTCGTCGTAACTAATTTCGGTGCTTAAATATAATGTAAATGGTCCAGTAATCTTGCGGTCTTGCGGAACTATGCTATCTTTGGGGAGGAGGGTGGGGGTAAAAAGTAGATTTAACTGCGATAAAAGCATAAGAGCGAATCGAACTCGAGAAAATACCTTTTATCTCTTCGTTCCCAGAGCTCAACTACAAAATTTTCACATTATCCTCAGTTATAATTCTCGAGCTGAAGTACCGGTGGGCTCACCTGAGGTAGTCGGCTATCAGGTTCGCGGTGCCTAGGTCTCACTTTCAAATGACCCTCACACACAGGAACTGTACAGATCCAAGGCTTCAGACAGGGCTTTGAAGCCTCAGACGTCTGGCAAGGGAGGCAAGGTGCTTTGCAGTCATCCTTTGTGAAATCTACCATAGGCTCTAGAGCTCAGACCTTCACTGAGTTGCTACGGAGCCCATCTACGAAATAAACTTGGGTGAAGCATCAGTTAGCAACTAATAGCAGTCATTCAAGTGTTCGTGTATTAAAAAACTTCCTGTCAAGCGACTCGATCATCCTAGCACTTCTTTGCACATTTCAGTGTTTTCGTCTCTATCTATCGCTTCCGGAATCAGCAAATTAATGGTCTCTGATGCGACTACGGGGCTTTCAATTTGAGAAATAGGTGACAAGAGGTCGACTACTAGAGGAATATGGTTTTTTAGCAATAGTTCATCGTCTGTATCCCAGCCATCAGAAAAAAATCAATCCCTATAGTTGCTTACTAGTCTACCTCTAGCCTTACATAAACCGGTGAACCAGTGAATGGTTGGGACTCTATAGGAGAGCAGGG